TGAGTAATGAAGAGTCATATCTAAGTGTGAGAAAAATGTCTCAGATAATGGGTTTCATCATTTCAACAATATTGCACCATCTCAAGAAATTCGATAAATGGGTTCTACATGAACTCAGTGAAAGTCAATGATTTCAATGGTTCAAAGTGCGTTCGATGCTGCACCTTCCAAATTTGAATGATTTGTTTATTTATTGAATAGCATCAAGGTCTCATCACTTTACAGTTGAAAATGCTAGATATAACCATATGTTCTATGCTAATAGTTTCTTCTCTTGCACTTCTCACCTGTGGAACTCTTGTCCAATGTCTTGCTTCCCAGTTAACTTTGATCTTCAAAAGTTTAAATGCAATATCAATCATTATCTTCTGTCTTCTTAATTTCTCTTCTTTTATTGGTCTCTCTCTCTTTAATAGTAGTTTTTTTCTCATATTCTTTCACACTAAGCAACGGTTTGCATCTTAGTGGCTTCATTGCCTTGCTTGGGGGTGAAATGATTATTAAAACAGGTTAGGTTTTACGTGTTTATTTAAGAGTAAACTAGGTATGTCATTATCAACAGACTACTTCTGAAAAAATAAAAGAAATATCAGTGAACATTTGTCAAAATGACTCAATTTACTATTTCTATCTTCAAAAGTCTTTTTTTTTTTTCATTTCGCATTAAAAGCATGATAACTGGATTTCTAGGCATGAAGCCAATTCCCTTGACTGGCCCAGTTCCATGACCAGCAATTTCACCAGAACATTTTGGGAAAATGAATGTATAATAATTGTCCGCCTTCTCAATTTTTGCTTCTCCAGTCCATAAATCCAAGAAACTGCTATACCAGTTACTATGGTAATGGTAATATTAGCCATTTCCTTATAAGGAAACATTTGACATTCACTGACCAAGCAGTCAGTGCTTCTTTCAACTAAAATTTTAAAAAACTTTCTCTTAAAACAATTTTTCAGGAACATGAGTTTCTCAAGTTCACTAACAACTCTTCCCTGGATTGAAGAGGGTTTACTTCCTAAATTTTTGTTTGAAGTAGTATGGAATGTCAGCATCTTGATTATGTCATTATTTTCTCTTCAGTTTACATATGATATCCTTATTAGTTTTTGCTGCTTCTGCAAATTCTTAAATGACAATGTGCATGTTACTTGGTAGAGTTCTTTGTGATTCTGTAGCACCAGTCTACAAGATCCATGAGAACTATTTTAACTATTGATCTGAGAAAGCAGTTGTATAAAGCTGACAGGTTAAATATTTCTGAATAAGCTATAATTACCAATCAAAATACAAGTATTGGTCATTGTAGCTTATGTAACAGCGTTTCCCCTATCAAGGGGTGTTTGGTTGATTTGAACCTTTTAAAACTCATTATTCTACATTCAAAGACATCACTTGATAAGACACCAGAAGTGTTGAAACAAAATGGCTATTTTTGTAGTGATTTTATAAAATTAATGTTATAATTTTCAAATAAATTATATCAGCATTGAGCACTCTTTTATGAATAGTATTTTTGGTTATTGTAATTTATTCCGTATACACTAATCCTATATATATATATATATATATATATATATGCTACCAAGCAAGAAAATTCATTTACAAATGAATATAATAATGTATATAATATTATTAACTACTAGCAGTAGAGCCCGGCGTTGCCCAGGGATGTAACAGTAAGAGATAGATCAAGTATCGACCATCATAAAGACTGAAAAATAAAATTGACAAAGATTATTGTTTAAGGTTGATGGACATGCATGTCTTAATTAGATTTTTTTTGTTGTTTTGTTTTGATTTTTGTTTTTTACGAATTGGTCAAACTCAAACTCAAACAAAAACATTGTTTTCAATCAATGAGTCTACCGATTGAATAGAATCTTATTATAAACAATTGTCCTGTAAATGGAATTTTTAAAGCATTCTGAATGTAAAAATAAAGACAAAAGTGTGCAAGACAATAAGAAACACTACCTGCCAAAAAAAAAGTGAAGTTTTGTTGAAATCGGTTGAAAAATGTAGGAAATCCGATCCCATATATAAACGAACACACGCACAAACAACCTGGGTTTTATAATAAGTATAACTCGATATGAGTTGTCCCCCTTTCATTCTCGCGATGCCTCTTAATAGTGTTTTCAAACTGATTTCGTGCAAAAACAATTGTGTTTTTTCCAATTTTTGGCACTGTCAGAACCACCACAAGGTAATTTTACATAGTCCTGTGAAGTTTTGTTGAAATCGGTTGAAAAATGTAGGAAATCCAATCCAATATATAAACGTACAGACACACACACACACACACACACACACACACACACACACACAACCTGGGTTTTATAATAGGTATGATTTAAGGGAGAGATCACATTTTTGGGATAGTTGCATTTGTTTTTAGGAATATTTATGTTGTCTTTATTAAAAATATATTTGTTTAAAATAATGTCATTATGCTGGGATATGGTTATATATATATATATATATATATATATATATATATTATGAAATGGACAAAGTCCGACAAATATTTTTAAGACATTTTTTATGTTTATGTTTTTATCTATAAAAAGAACATATAAACATAAAAAGTGTCTTTAAAATATACATATATGTGTGTGTGTGTGTGTGTGTGTGTGTGTGTGTGTGTGTGTGTGTGTGTGTGTGCGTGCCAAACAAGAAAATTCTTTTAGAAATTGCTATTCAGCTTCTGATTGGTTCATGGAAATATGACTCCGTGGCCAAGCAATAGTGATTTTGTATCTATTTTTAGTAACTTCCTTGGTTCTTCCAATTTTAGTCATCACTACAGGTCTTACTTGTTTGTAATGGACACTCAGATAGTTAGGCTTATTATGGAAGAGCTATGCTTTTTTTACATATTCAGTGAAGTTTGATGGCCAGCTGAACAGAGCTGTTATTTTTTCTGTTTGGTTTTGGCACCTTGATGATGATGATGATCCCAACTGCCGGCAATTACAAACTATGAAGCATTTTCTAGTTTAACCCAATCTTGAAGTTTCATATACACTTCATAACACCCCCAGGCAAGGCTCTGTATGCATCACTAGATTGGTGTGGTGTAGCGACTCGATAAAAAGAAGACCTTGATTCCATGATGGAAATTGTCAGATCAACCTTGCACCTGTATATCAACCTATCAGATGGTGGTCAAATCCACAGGAGATAAGGGCTTTTTTTTTTTTTCTCAGAGAGTTCTTGTATCACTTCAGCTGGTTCTCAAATCTCCATTAACCTGAGTTTACCTTTTTTAAAATTTGACGACAAGAGTCTTCCATCTTTGCCAGTGGCTAGCTGATCACAATTGAGTCTTTTGCAAGCCTAGTTACTGTAATTGTGGTCCTTCTAGAAAAGCTTTAATGCCCTTTTAGAATGGTTCAGAGACAATGGTGACAGAAAATTTCCAGTAGGTACAGATGAAGCCTCTGATAACGTAAGATATATGAAAACTATTATTATTAATATATACAAAGTTGCTGCTTAATTCTGTTTTTCACTCTGCACTAATGCCCTTGGAGAAGACATGAATCTGTCTTCTTTCAGCTATAAGATAAATAACAGAGTAGTTCTCTTGCCTTGAGATGACAACCAGACTATGAGAAGGAAATTTCTGATCTGTCTATATCTCTGAGATTAGGTATTATGATTATTTACATTATTTACATTATTCAGTGACTAGCTTCTAGTGATATATTGGCTGTCTATATCTCTGAATAATGTAAATAATGTAAAGAAATTTCTGAATTCAAAATCAGGATGAGCTCCATCATGCTATCTTGCCCAAGACACACCACTGCTGTTATAGATGCAGTACATACAGTGCCCTTACAGCCCAAGTGAATAATGGAACTTCTGCTGATTATTAATATAAGCAAGTTTGTTTTTTTTACTTGTATTTTCATCTGATTTGTTTGTTGTTTTTTTTACATTCATATTTCATTCCCTATTCTTTTGGAAATTTCTTCAAAGAGAAATCAACATTATTAGTTATTGGATTATTTTTTTTTCTTTTCTCATATAAGATAAACTTTTAATTATTATTTTTTTATATTTGTAATGACAATTCTATCTATGTTTCTTTGATGTGTTTTTGTTAACAATGCTTTCTTCTCTACAAGCTGATTAGGTTTTGCTCAATCAGTTATATAAATGGGTTTTTGCTTTTCTCTTGTTCTATTCATGATTATATCAGAAAAGTGGACCTCGAAGAATCAGTTTGTCTATACTGGGACAATTCCAGTGAATTTTCTTCAACACAATCACATCTTCATCTGCTTTGCTTTGAGATTTTTATACATGTTTTATTGGTATTTCTTCTCTTTGTCCTCTTCTTCTTCCCTTCTACTATAATTTCTCTTCTTCTTCTTCTTCTTCTTCTTCTTTTTCCTTCTTCTTCTTTTTCCTTCTTCTTCTGTCATTTCTCATCTTCTTCTTCTTTTTCCTTCTTCTTCTTCTTCTGTCATTTCTCATCTTCTTCTTCTTCTTCTTCTTTTTCCTTCTTCTTCTTCTGTCATTTCTCATCTTCTTCTTCTTCTTCTTCTTCTTCTTCTTCTGTCATTTCTCATCTTCTTCTTCTTCTGTTATTTTTCATCTTCTTCTCATCCACTATCACTTCTCTCTTCTTGAATCTTTTCATTGTACTTTTTCATGTCTTATTCTTCAGGAATTTATACTTCTGTTTTTTTTCTCAATCACAACTCTGTTTTCCTTCAATCTTTCTTTAGCCAGTTTTTCCACCCTCAGTTCTCCTTTTCTTTTGTTCCATTCCACAATTTTTTTGTCTTGTTTTTTTCTTTTTCTCTTTCCTTCCTTTCTTTCTTTCTTTCTTTCTTTCTTTCTTTCTTTCTTTCTTTCTTTCTTTCTTATATCTGTCTAATTGTTTCTTCTTTTTCCAAATCTCTCTCTCTATTCTTTCTTTCTTTCTTTCTTTCTTAATCTAATTCTCTTTATATTTATTTTATTTTTCTCTCTCATTATTCACATGACTTTCTTCTTTGACTTCTTCAGTATCTATTATTCCTGTTCTGGTTTTCTACTCATATATGTCATATTCTTGATTTGCAATTGATTTTTGATTTTTCTTTTTTACTTTCTTGGGGCCACTTTCTCTTTCTAGTTCTACTTTCACTTTTACTTTTACTTTAACTTCTTTTCTTTTGTTTTTATAATTCTGCTCCTTTCTTTATTTTCTTTGATTAATAATGCTTCTTTTTTTATTTTCCTCCTGTTATTTATTTTTATTTATCTTTCTCTCTCTTCATCTTTCCATTTTTCTTCTTATATTTTTCTCTACCATTTTCATCTTCTAATTCCATTTCTATTTACATCCTGCCATATTTTATTCTTCATTCACCTCCTCTCTTTTTTCTCTCTCCTTTTAAATCTAATCTTCTATTACCATTTCTTTTTCTTTTCTATCCTCCCATCCTTAATTCTTTTTTCTTTTACTCTATCGCTTTCTCTTATTTTTTATCTGTTTTCTTTGATCACCTCTATTTTCCTTTCTCACCTGTCTGCCAAACAGTTATCTCTCTCTCTCTCTCTCTCTCTCTCTCTCTCTCCTTTCCTTTTTAATTCAAATTTGCCTTCATTTTCTGTAATATCCTTCTTTCTTTTTCTTGATCTCCTCTATTTATAAAATCTTCTTTCTCCTACTCTGTCCTCTCATTTCATTGTTAATCCTTTCTTTTTTTTAATTTACCTTTATCTCAACAATCATGGAAATTTGCAATGCGTTACACAAATTATAATAATTTGAACATTTTAACTTGTATCTCATGACCTGATCTTTTCCAAATGAGTCAACTCATACACAAAATGGAAAGATGTCTCCGCAATGAATAGTTTATGAGGTGTTCTGTAAGTCGAATGAACCATTTAATTTCCAAACTCTAGCACTGAACTCCCACCTTGAAGCACTCCTGAGTAAACGCCTTCAAAAATAATTAATGGTTTCAATAGTACTTTAAAATATAGTGCTTTCTCTCTTATTTGCATTTTCAATTTCTAGTTTCCATTTCTAATAGTCAACCTCTGGAGTAAATAATGCATTAACCTTGTTTAATATTATTCACAAAGTCCATCAATCTGGGGATACCAAAGAGAAATTGTCAAGTGAAAAGATGAAACATCTTAATAAGGAAAGAAAAAGAATGTGTTCACATTGCTAAGATCTATAATCAGAAGAAATCTGTTATTTGACTTTTAGTCCAGTTTTGATTCATAAATAATTTCCATTTGTGTTTATCTAATTTATTCTTCAAACAATAAAGTAAAATTACATTTTATTCAATTATATATCCACCATCATCCACAACAACATGTTATCACTTATCAGGCAGCTCATCAATAACTTAACTCCATCAATACTAGAAAGATCAATAACAGCTACTGGGCTTGAGATAACTTTTATATAAAATTCTGTAGCTTTTGATATAAAAAATCTTTTGATGAACTCTTCAATCTGGTTTTCATGAGAGAAAGATTTTTTTTTCAAATGATCAGAAAAGTAAATAAACACTTGGTGCAAAGTCAGTTAAATATGATAAGTGAGTTTAGAGCAGACCTGCTACATTCCAAAACTTCTTCCTGTTTTATTTTTGCCTTATTGCACTTCAAATTATCATGAAAGAGATCAACATTTCTCTTATTGACAAGCACTGAACGCTTTTTGATCAAACTTTTATTGGACACATTGCAGCCACTAAACGTATAAATACACATATATCATGTTTCATTGTGTTTTAAGAAATCTAAATGAATATTAATATCCAAATGATCTCCCACATACCACAACATTAATTTTCTTCCATGGAGCTCAGCTTTTGCGATTGACTGTGAAAATCTATACTTATCAATCCTCTACGTTTTATGTTAGATGTAACTGATTTTTCATAACCAGATATGATATATTTATAGAGCAGTTAATTAGGATAATACATTCACCATTACTTATGACTTAACTTATGACTTAACTCCATCAATACTAGAAAGAACAATAACAGCTACTGGGCTTGAGATACCTATTTTCCTGAAAAAATTTTTTAAGAGAGAAATTTGATAAATTTCAACCAATAGCAGCACTGGATGATTGGTCAATAAATACTGAATCTTACTTTATCAGGAAATGGTTCATATTACCATTACTATCAGTACATTGTTATAATTGTTCTATTTTATTGTTATTATTATCATATTCTGTATAATTTATAAATTAAACTTCATGAAAGATATGTATATATAGGAAAATCATAGTATAGATAGGGTTTAGAATCATCTGTAATTTTATATATGCACTAAAAGTCTTAGAATATATCCACCACAGATATGTAGGAAGTATTTTTTTTAATCATTTCACCCCAAACAAGATAATAAAGTCACTAAGATGCAAGGGGTTACTGAGTGTGAAAGGACATGATAAAAATCGCTATTAAGGAGAGCGAACAACAAACAGGATTTATGAAGACAGTGATTAAATGGGGAAACAAGAAGCTGGAAAAGAGTTACACAAGCAAGACGTGAGATAGAAGAAACTGTTAGCATAGAACTTATGGTTAAATCTAACCATTTCAACCTTAAAATGATGAGACTTTGCCGCTAATCTAGCACTATGCTTAAATTCATAAAGTCTAAGTACCATAGAGGAAAGTTCTTCCGAACAATTACCATGAAAGTATTTATAGGAAAGTCACAGGGAAGCTATGTTATGGCAGTGAGAAAATGATGGAAGCCAAGATGCCAAGTCAGGACCAATAATATTACAGATTCTTCTATGGATTTTATTTAGAAAGAATAAGTAGAGTATAAATTTATCTGATATAAAAAGGGTTAAATGACTGACTTGCCATCTGAACGTTTTATTATTTCTGTTAAGTTGGCACAATTTCTCACCATCATAAGAGTTCTGAGGTACTTCTGTGAATCATTCCATAAAATTTCCTTATTTTCTCTCTGAATATTTCAAACGAAAGCTAATTCTTATAAAACAAGGCTTAAAAACGGGCATCCTCATCTTGGTAGTTTTTATCATGGTTGGCCTACAGTACCCTTGAGCTTTCATCAGGTGTCTGTCTTCAAGGAATGTTTGAACAGAAGCTTTTATTTATAAAGGGTTTCATTCAGAATTCCCTGAAAGCAAACATCTGAACAAGGTTAGAGAAATCAATTACTGAAATGTTGTGGCAAAAGTAACCAGCATTCAGAAGCAATTACAGAAGAATAATTGTGTAATAATATATCTGTTTTCAACAAAATGTTTTCTTTCTTGAGTTTTTCTCAAACAAATACCTGTCTTCATAGCAGATAAGCCATCTTTATTTGAAGTAGTAATGAAAAAAGTATTCACTTAGCTACCATGGCAGAATTTAGAATTAAGATATCACTACCAACCTAGTATAAATCTTTCCTTACTGAAATGTATAATTCTATTCCAAAATTTGTGATTTTTAGCAGAATCTTTTGGTTGGTGTGTTGTGGGATTTGGATGAATGTTACAAAAACCCATCACAAAGTTGGGGATTGAAATCTGTTCTCCCAGAAAATCATTTGCTTTCCTATAAAAATGATGTGAACTAATTTTTGTGTGCAGCCACCAGACTATGAGGATGCAGACCCCATTTCAAAACATTCTGGTTACATACCTGATGTTACAGTCGATCATCTTGAAATTTTTTCTTCTAATGATTTTTCCTCCTTTGTATCTCAGTCACATAAATTTAAGCAGACTACTAGATTGGCATCAAAGTCTCATTCTTTTACTATTGAATTAGTTAAATATAACCACAAGTTATATTCTAATATTTTCTTTTCTTACCTGTGGAACTCTCCCCTGGTTTCTTGCTTCCGTACCATCTATGTTCTTCAAAAATGTAAATTCAATGCAACTCTTTATCTTCAGTCTTTATGAATCCTGTTCTTTTATTATCCTTTCTCCTCACTAAAGTCTTCTCATTCTTTTTTACTACCAGTAACCCCTTGTGTCTTAGTGGCATTATCATCATCTTCTGTCTTCCTGAATCCTGTTCTTTCATTGTCCTTTCTCCTCACTAAAGTCTTCTCATTCACTTTCAGTCCCAGTAACCCCTTGTGTCTTAGAGGCATTATCACCATCTTCTGTCTTCCTGAATCCTGTTCTTTCATTGTCCTTTCTCCTCACAAAACTTTTCTCATTCACTTTCAGTCCCAGTAACCCCTTGTGTCTTAGAGGCATTATCACCATCTTCTGTCTTCCTGAATCCTGTTCTTTCATTGTCCTTTTCTCCTCACAAAACTTTTTCTCATTCACATTCAGTCCCAGTAACCCCTTGTGTCTTAGAGGCATTATCACCATCTTCTGTCTTCCTGAATCCTGTTCTTTTATTATCCTTTCTCCTCACTAAAGTCTTCTCATTCTTTTTTACTACCAGTAACCCCTTGTGTCTTAGTGGCATTATCATCATCTTCTGTCTTCCTGAATCCTGTTCTTTCATTGTCCTTTCTCCTCACAAAACTTTTCTCATTCACTTTCAGTCCCAGTAACCCCTTGTGTCTTAGAGGCATTATCACCATCTTCTGTCTTCCTGAATCCTGTTCTTTCATTGTCCTTTCTCCTCACAAAACTTTTCTCATTCACTTTCAGTCCCAGTAACCCCTTGTGTCTTAGAGGCATTATCACCATCTTCTGTCTTCCTGAATCCTGTTCTTTATTATCCTTTCTCCTCACTAAGGTCTTCTCATTCTTTTTTACTACCAGTAACCCCTTGTGTCTTAGTGGCATTATCATCATCTTCTGTCTTCCTGAATCCTGTTCTTTCATTGTCCTTTCTCCTCACAAAACTTTTCTCATTCACTTTCAGTCCCAGTAACCCCTTGTGTCTTAGAGGCATTATCACCATCTTCTGTCTTCCTGAATCCTGTTCTTTCATTGTCCTTTCTCCTCACAAAACTTTTCTCATTCACTTTCAGTCCCAGTAACCCCTTGTGTCTTAGAGGCATTATCACCATCTTCTGTCTTCCTGAATCCTGTTCTTTTATTATCCTTTCTCCTCACTAAAGTCTTCTCATTCTTTTTTTTACCAGTAACCCCTTGTGTCTTAGTGGCATTATCATCATTTTCTGTCTTCCTGAATCCTGTTCTTTCATTGTCCTTTCTCCTCACAAAACTTTTCTCATTCACTTTCAGTCCCAGTAACCCCTTGTGTCTTAGAGGCATTATCACCATCTTCTGTCTTCCTGAATCCTGTTCTTTCATTGTCCTTTCTCCTCACAAAACTTTTCTCATTCACTTTCAGTCCCAGTAACCCCTTGTGTCTTAGAGGCATTATCACCATCTTTTGTCTTCCTGAATCCTGTTCTTTCATTGTCCTTTCTCCTCACAAAACTTTTCTCATTCTCTTTCACTCCCAGTAACCCATTGTATCTTAGTGGCATTATCATCATCTTCTGTTTTCCTGAATCCTGTTCTTTTATTTACCTTTCTTCTAATTGTGTTTCATTCCCAGTAACCCCTTTTGTCTTGGTATTGGCATTATCACCATCTTCTGTCTTTCCGAGCCCTCTTCTTTTATTGTCCTTTCTTCTCATTAATCTTCTAATTCTCTTTCACTTTCAGTGTCTCATTGCTTCTTAGAGGCATTATTACCTGGGGGTGAAAGGATTAAA